CTGCTGCTCTCAGGTTCCTTAATTTAATACAGTCAACATGAGGGCGCCACATTTTGAGGTGACAGTCTCTGCACTCCTTCAACTCCTGTCTAGAATTATAAACCCACATCTTCTAAGGATCTATACTCAAACACACCCAAAAGGCCACTCCTTACTTTTGTTCCAGTTACGAGATAAAGTAGAAAGCTACTGGTCCTCCCTAGAGCCGTCCATTCATTCCTTGAGTCTTTCAAATGACAGGTTTGCCATGCCCCTACTTGTTGCCCATCTCGGAGGCCTTGGGGATGTGGAGGCAGACAAGGCAGGCTGCAGCTAACTTTTGTTCAGCCTGCTCCGCAACTAATAAGATTGAAGCCCCAAACACCCAGGTGAATTGTCCATTTCATGCATAGGCTGCACAAAGCATGGGACAGCCATGGAGAGATACAAGTGGACAAAGGCTGTGCTCTCATAGTACCAGACCTAGTGGGGAAGCCAGCAAGGCCTGTCCTCTCAGGTCCCTCTTAGCCTCTGGGCAGCATTCCCTTCCCAGGCACAAGGCAGGACATCCTTCCGGGATGGGGTCTTACAGGCTTCCATCAGATGAGGCAGATGGAAGAATTTTTTTTTATGTTCTTTTTAATTATACGAGGTGATAGAATGCATTTGCCATATTGCACACAGGGAGTACAACTTCCCATCCTTCTGGTTGAACATCATGTGGGATTATCATGGTCGTGAATTCACATATGAACGTAGGAATGGAAGGATTTCTTTATGGCCAGTTCAAGAGAGGGAGATTAATATTTTAGGCTCTATGGCTTTCTTGGAGAAATAAAATTCTAGACTTTTAGGACCTGCTTTGGGGCACAAAAATTCTAGTTTTCATAGTTGCTTTGAGGGGAAAAAGCCGGGAGGAGACAGGAGGACGGAGGTTAGAGAAAGACTGGAGTCTGAAGCTGCTTCTGAGGCTCGCTTCCGAGTGTGGTTTTCTGAGTCTCCGTGTTGGTGGTGCTGAGTCTGATCAGCCTGCTCCAGGCAGGGCCAGGAGATGCAACTGGAAAGGCAGCCAGGACCTCCTTCTCACAGGACCAGAAATAGCAGCCCTGAAAGGGCACGGGAGGTCTGCACGGGAAGGTTACGGTGACTGCAGATGGAGGGTGAGAAGGTGGGGACCCGAGGACACTTTTGGGTTTGGCATATTTAAGAATCAACTTGAACAGGGCTCAGGATTGAATGTGGGGAGTGAAGGGCAGATGCTGGGAGCAAGTAGGGGCACTCCTGGGTGCCCAGGCTCTCAGCAGGAAGCTCAGGCCTCCACTGCCTAGCCACTGTTTAGAAGATGTAGGTGACAGAGATGAAAATTGCATTCTGGGTAAAAAGTCTGGGATTGAAAACAGATCAATGTTGTAAGGTCTCCTCTCTCTATGTACTCTTTGGGGTGAGCTAGCTGTGTGCAGGCTGTCTGAGCTACTGTTAGGTTACAGCCGATGGCTGGGTGTCAGCACTGTAGATGCATTGGATTGGCACCTACTCTGCAGAGGGGTCTCCTAAGCCCTGTGAATTAGGAACCCACATCTGAAGAGCAAAGCATCTCAGGAATAATTAGGGGAATCAAAGATATGGGTTCTTCTGGGAAGATGATGTGGGCCTTGAACAGGAAGTCAGGGACACACTTCTGCAGAACAGCCGTTGGGGTGACAGACAGCTGTAGTGGCTTTCTTCCCACTGTATGTAGACATATCCTGTGACCCATCTAGAAGGCAGGCCCAGGCTTCCAAGTGTGATTTGACACTGCTGGCCTGGCAGTCACCTGCACCCACATATTAGGCTGTAACCATTTGCAGTTGGATTTGGGCTAAGAATCACATTCATTGTTTGGCACACTTGGTGGCCAGGTTGTAGGGGGACATATGGGTCCCACCTATAACTGACTGAGGCTGTCAGTAACTGCCAGAGGAGCCTGACACTCTCCCATGGAGCTGGGTGAATTCATCTAGAACAGCTCCTAACCTCAAAGTTAAAAATAAAAGAAGAACAAAGTTAAAAGTTAAAATTTACTCTGGTTTGTTAAAAAATAAAGTAGAACCCTGGAGAAGAAAGAATGGCACAGGTAATGGGTGTAAAAACACGTTCACACCGTGGCTTGGGCTTTGTTGGGTTGGTGATGGGTGAATCCATAGTCCCCAAGGCTGCCTCTTGTCCTGCTAGAGTAGTTCTTCCCAAGGCCTTTGTTCCTGTGTGGCTCCCAAATGCAAAGTCCTTGGCCATATTATGATCTGAACGAGTTCATGCTTTGAAACTGTGATGAAATACCTGAGGCTGGATAACTTTGTAAAGAAGAGGTTTATTTAACTCACACCAGGTTCAAGGTTGAGGGGTTGATGACCTTCTCCCAGGCAGAGTCTCAAGGTGGCTCAGGGCATCACGTGGCAAGAGACAGGGAACACACGTCGTGTGTGCCTTGTGCTCTCTCCCTCTTTGTGTAATTTACCGGTACTCTATCTTGAGGGCTGCACCTCACAATGTTAGGTAATCTGCTGGCCTCCCAGAGCCCTTTCTAAACACCTGAGTAAGTTTCCACCTTAGTACTTCACAGTCAGGATTGAATCTCAGCACTGAGCCTAGGGGGTCACCCTGAAACCACAACCAAACCTAGCAGGGTCACAGTGCCCAAGAGACAAGATAACCTCCTCCTCTTCCTCTTCCCCCTCTTCCTCCTCCTGCTCTTACACCCGTTACTGTTTCTCCTCTTCCTCCTGCTCTGCACATCCTTCCCCTCCTCCTCTTCTCCCGCTGCATTTCCTCCTGATCTCTCTCCTCCTCGCATCTCTCCTTTCTCTCTTTCCTCAGTTTCCTCCTCCTCTTTCTTTGACTCTTAACTCTTAGGATTTTGTGAAATATTTCTCCTCCACATCAGGCGGCCAATTCGTTTGTTTGGATAAGGATATAATGATCCCGCTGGTGGAGCTAAAGTAAAAAGGGCTCTGTTGGGCTTGCATCTCAGACTCTCAGGCTGTCTGAGTGATTTAGGAGAATTCTCAAGGGTCATTTTAAGTGTATTTGATTATCATCTATTTGCTCATTTTGTCACCAGAGCCCCAACTTGTGACTTCACCATTCATGTAACTGTAGCACAGAGGGTGTAAGTGCAGCGGGGGGAGTGTGGCAGGGATACAGAGGGGGAGACCCAGAGCAGACAGTGGGAGGAGGGTTGTCAACATTCATGGGCAAGAGGTGGGGCCAGGTGGCTGGCTAGTAACCTGTCCTGTGGGTGGAAGGCAGGGCTGGCCATGGGTGGCATCAGCTTGGGCTGTGGCGGGAGGTGGGGCCTGCCTGAGCTGGGCTGGGGTGTTTGGACTTTGCAGTGGGGACATGCTCAGCGGTCAGGTTATTCATTAACAAGACCAAGAAGGACCTCATTTTCACGTGGTTTAATTGAACTGACTACTGTGAGCTGTTGGAGGTTTTAATCAGGGCAAAGACGTGACTCTGAGTGTCACCTGCACATATACACACACATCTCAAATAATTATGAATTATAATGCATGCACACAGCAAAAAATCCCCAAGAGGATAAGGAATGTAGTGGGAAGTCCCCCTCCTGCTTCCATGTCCTGTTAGGACAGATGTTACCATTCCTTTCCGGGTTTCCTTCAAGGTGCTCTGTGCAACACAGAATCTACACAGGTATTCTCTGCTTTGCTCACCATGAGTCTGGAGCTCATTTGGAGTCACTTTGTGGTGACCCACTCACTGCCTTGTCTTAGTGGCAGAAGATCAGGTTGGATGGTGGTTTTCAGTCCTGCTCTTTCAAACATAGCGCCGGTGCTATTCCTGGCTGCCCGTTTCTGCATAGAATTTAAATGTACCTCTGGAGTAAGTCCCTGGACATGGAGTTGTGGCCAGAAGGCTTGTGTGCTTTGGATTTGCTACTTGTTCCTGTACCACCCATCAAAGAGGTTGGACTAATCTACTTTCACAAATAGTGTGCAGGAGGGTTTATTTCATGAAGTCGTAGGAAGACTTCTTGGTCTTTATAGATATTTTACATTAAAAAGTGACAAAATTGAGTTCCATTTCCTTCATTTAAAATCCCAGTTGTTGGGGCTGGGGTTGTGGCTCAGAGGTAGAACGCTCGCCAATCATGCATGAGGCACCAGGTTCGATCCTCAGCACCACATAAAAATAAAGATATTGTGTCCACCTATAACTAAAAAAAAAATTAATAAATTAAAAAAATAAAATAAAATCCCAGTTGCTTTTGTTTTTCTGTGAACTGCAATGTTATGCCCAACTATATTTTTCTATTGGATTATTAGGCTTTTTCTTATTGATCTATAAAAGTTCTTTATATATAAAGAAAATTAGCTTTTTCTCTTTTGTATGTGTTGTAAATGGTAGTTTTTTCCCAGTTTCTCATTTGTGCTGTTGGTATCATCCTGAACAGTTCTTTTCTGCATGTGTGACTTATGTTACCAGGAATTGAGTTAAAATGGGAAGAAGGAAGAGATGTGTTTGAAAGGGATTCTTTCTGAAGGTAGAAGGGAAAAGCCAAGAAGTAGTTTTTGAAGTCATGGTAATAGGTGACTTTTGAAGTCCTTTTTAAGAAGTGACTAACAGCGGCCTGAAGACAGATTTGGGGTACAATCCACAATAAAGGGGCAAGAGAAAAAAGTGACACGTGGAGTCAAAGAAACAGAGAAGGAACTCTCTTGTTCAGCACATGTCACTGGAGATGGCAGAGTGGATTCCACATCTGAAGTCTGCCAAGCCAGCCTGAATTAGCCATGGCCCTCTGACCTTTATCCTGGCCACAGTCTGTTGTATCAGAGACTGGTGGACAAATGCTGCTGTCCTCGATGCTGAGCTGCCTTCTCGATTTCAAAGCAGATTTCCTCTAAATGGCAATTCAGAAATAGAAATTACTCGTGGAATTGACTTCAACTCCCCATCACAGGAGTGAGCTGTGGCATGTCCGCATTCCTTCATCTTCCCCCATCTCTCTGTTTTTGACACAGGGACCATCTAGAAGCGGCAGGACACGTGTGCATTCTGAAAGACGCCTTTGACTTTGAAAGACCGTCTGAAATCTCAGACCTCATTGCGGCTGAGAACTTGGAGGCAGCTCTGGCTCTTCACCTCTACAGGGGAGGCCGACTCTTACAAGGTAACCCTCCTGCTCTTTGTGGGGGTTTAGCTGTGAGCTATCCCCCAAGAGCTCATGTGTGACAACTCATGAAAGTTCCGAGGTGAAATGATTCAGTTATGAAAGTTTTGACCCAGGCAGTGAACTAATCCACTTGAATGGATTAGCTTGGAGGTAACTGTAGGCAGATGGGGTGTGGCTGCAGGAGTGGGTCACATGGTGGGGGCCTGCCTTAGGGTTTATATTTTGTCCCTTGTGAGAGGAGCTCTCGGCTTCCTGGTTGCCCTGTCCTGAGCAGCTTTCCCCTGCCCCCAATGCACTCTGTCTCACTCAGGCCCAGAGCAGTGGATTTGGCTGGCCATAGACGGAGTCCTCTCAAACCGTGAGCTCAGAGCCAACTTCCTCTACATTGTTCTTTGTAAGTCTTTTGGTCACAGCAATGAAAAAGCTGACAAATACACTCTTCCAAAGTAAAACAGTGGGAATGCTGAAAACCCAGAGCACCTGGAACCTCCAAAATGCGCACAGTGGTGTACCCTGTTTATCCAGAACACAAGTGGAAGGAGTTCAAGGAGCTCTTCACTTTGTTTTCCTTCTGAGCAATTTTCCAAAATGTGGTTGCTGTGTCCACACAGAACAAGTGGATGCTGAAACTGTCTTTACTGTGAAGAGGGCTATCCTATCTCCATGTGTACTTCCTAGTTCAAAGTGTACCTTTCGGAAGCTAAACATGGGATTCTTTTCTACACATGAGTCATTATGACAGATTTTAATTCAGGTTAATGAGGAAAATGCTATGGTGCTTAAGCTAATTTAGACCACTTGTGAGAGTTGGGTTGAAACAGGCAATTCAGGAAATAATGTCATAATAAGATCACTAGGTTAACTGCAAAAGGAATGAAGGTCCAGTAGGTCATGGGGCCCTTGGCTTTGGGACTCTTTTGTACTGGACAGAAGTGATCGATATCTCTGCCTGATGCAGAGTGACAGATGGTTAACCTGATGGCAGAGGATGAGCTCTCAGACCAATGAGGTCAACATCAGGACGTCCCTACAGAGACTGCTGCCCCCTCGGGAGCCCAGCAGGCTGCTTCCTGGGATACCCAGAGGAGGTGCACATTGTCCTTCTTTTCTCCTGTTTCAGTCTTGATCTTATTGCAGATGGTGGGTTTTGTAACATGCCCGGCCCGTCTGGCTTCCCTGAGAGCATAGCCCTGAGTTGGGGCAGGACAGGTGTTCTGTGTTAGCTGAACCAGGAAGGACTTTCTTGAATTGGTGGCCTGGTGAAGGTGCCGTTTATGCTGTATGTTTCAGGGGACAGCAGTCACTTGTAGACCACCATTATCTACGGCACTCATGCTGGGATCACTTTTTGGTCACAAAATATGTGAAGCTTCCTCAGTGTTCGGAAGTTTCACTGTCAAGGGTGAGGTGAGGTTCTCCTCACTTCTGCAGTTGAGCCTCTTGGGACAATGTCTCCACACATGGGGACATTTGCTCTCATGCTCTTTTTTATTTGTTAAATAAAAATGTGCATGGCAAAACATTCCCCCAGCTAGGAGTAAGGCCTGACTCCAGGGTGTGGCATGAAAAGGGATCTTTTGCCTGCCTCTTGTCCCCTATGCCTCATTTGTCCTCCCCAGAGGCAGCCAGCTAGTATTTTTTCATGTAGATTCTTCTAGGAATATATCTATTGCATTAGTTACCTACTATTGCATAACCTCCAAACTTAGCTGCTCTCAGCGACACGCTTGCCAGCAGCCTGGCTGGACATTCTGTCCTAGGGGCTCTCGTGTGCTCTGGTCAACCTGGGCATTGGGTCAACCTGGGCTGTTGGAGGGTCATATCCATGATTGCAGCTCAGTCAACTGTGGGCAGGAGATGAGGCTTCTCCACAGACATGTGAGTGTCCTCAGACTTGGTGGCCAGCTTCTCCCAGAGAGAAGAACCCAAGAGAGAGAAAATGCAAAGTCACTTTGTCTTCTACCACCCAGCCTCAGAAGCCGCCCAACACGAGTCCCGTTGGTTACCTGGCTCTATATGGCATGGGTCCTAGCCAGAGCGTATACAGTTAATTACTGTAAGAATGCACATATTTATTGAAGTCTGAGCTTTGCTGTTTTGGAGACTGGCCACCACGAAGGCCTTTGCCTGTTTGCGTAGATGCCCCTCCTTCAAGCCACACAGTTGAGGCATCTCCACCCATGGGAGCCCTAGCAACTCTACCTTGGAAGTGCCACGATTTGAAATATTCAAATTATAGACCTTAAATTGTCTTCGAATTTTTCTACTTCAGCCCCTGCAGTGCATGTCTTGGTATGGGCATTGTAGCTCATGAACCTGTAAGAGTGTACCTGCTGTCCTGTTTCTGGGACCCGTCACTGTCAGAAGTGATTTCTTTCCAGAAGCGGGGACCCTGCTTCTGAAAGTGTTATTCACAGAGAGTGCTTTTCTGTGAACAGCATAGGACCCCAAATCTCTTCTAAGTGACATAGGATGTAGCAGAGTCTGAGGTTTATCCCAGAATGTGCCAGAGTAACCTTCTTCCTGGAGCCAGAGAGAGGCCTGTGCTGGCTCTGGCTCACAGGTGCATGGGAGTCTATCGCCGGCCGATGGATAGCTGCAGCTGCCCCTCAGCCTAGTCTGGAGTCCTCCTGGCTACAAGAGGTATTGTCTATGTCGTCTATACCTGGTGTTTCTTTCAAATTGTTTCTCCTGCAATGTGGAATATATTTTATTCCTACAAGTCGGGCTATTCTGTATATTTCCTTATGTACCTTCCCCACTTGCATAACTATGTCAGCCTCCCCTCAGTGGCTGCCTAGTACAGATTGAGTATTCCTATTCTGAAATGCTTGGGACAGAGTGTTTGTGATTTTGTGTTTTTTTAAAATTGTAGAGTATTTGCATATATATAATGAAATATTTGGGGAATGGGTCCCAAGTCTAAAAAGTCACTTATATTTCCTATACACCTTATTTCCTGGCCTGAAGGTAGTTCTATAGAGTATTGTAGTGTGCCTGCCTTTTGTTGGTGACCTGTTATGTAAGGTCAGAATTGGAAATTTCCAGCTTGTGACTTCATGTCAGTCTTCAAAAAGCTTCCAATTTTGGAACATTTCAAATTTTGGATTTTTGGATTAGGCTTACTCAACCTGAATTTTACTGTAAGAATGCACATATTTATTGAAGTCTGAGTTTTGCTGTTCTAAGCAATGTTGAAGTACCTTTATGTCTTAACTTCATTATGAGAGCTATCAGTAGTACTCATTCCTAGGTAAACTTGTAGGCCAGGGGATAGTATTATTATTATTATTATTATTATTTTTTTTTTTTTAAAGAGAGTGAGAGAGAGGGGGACAGAGAGAGAATTTTAACATTTATTTAT